ATTCCAGTGCTTTTGTCTTTTCCCTTTTTAAATCCCACCTGGAAGCAGCAAACCCGCTCCCCTCCTGCCACACGGCGCGGGGACGTCACCGCCTGAGGCACCGCAAGGACCGCGGTGGCGCTTACGAAAAAACATCCTCCCCTTCCTCTTAACCCGCAGAGACCTTAGGGTCACCAGCACCCTGCCCCGGGCCCCGTCCTCGGGCAGCAGGCCGGCAGCACGCCCCTCCTGAGTGGGCCGGCCCCTGGGGGTGGGCGGCTGCCGTGAGCGGGGCGGCAGGAGAAGGAAGGGCAGGCGAGCCCGATGCAGAAGCGGTTCCTGGGATGAGGGATGACACCAGGCGCTGACGAGTCAGCGGCCCGGCGGCAGCCAAAGCCGTGCCGGCTTTTCCCAGGGCGAGCGCAGGGGTCAGAGGGCGAAGTGTCAGGAATAAAAGGTCTGGGGTCAAATGGATTATTTTAGCCAAAAGGCCCCCACTGACAAAAGCAGATTAAGGCAGGACTTAGAAGGCCAGGATCAGAGGAGCGGAGGTTTCTCCCGAGCCGAGTGAGGGTGAGAGGTTACAAACTCCCCACAGCCACCTCTGGCACCCCCGCTTAGAGGAGCAGAGAGCCCCCTCGCCCGACATACTAAAGGGCAAAGCAAAGGGAAAGGTACTGCAAGGAGAAACGTGTCTCTGATGAAGAGGGAACTGTTAGGGATCTGTGGCCGAGAGCAGGATTGTCAGGGGGATGCTCACGTTGCCTCAATTGTTTCCTCTCTGGAAGAAAAATCTCCCCAGTTTCTCTCCTCCTTCCTTCCAGGTTCCCCAATCTCTCAACCGCTCCTAAGACATAATGTCTGGAGACCCCCTAATGCAAGGGCCGCTCCCTAATTCCATGCAGGCCCTGCTTTGTTTCTCTTCCGGGATACAAACACCGGGATGGAGGATAGGAACCTACAGTCGAGCAGCGTGACGCTGCCATCTCCCCCAGTCCATGTTAGACTGACACAATCCCGCCAGTGCGTCCACGGCTCAAGCACCGTACGTGGTCGCTTCAGCTGCCTGAGCTAGGCTCACGGCATGAGAGAGCGAGACCTCAGTGACCCGTCACCACGGGATTAGCCAAGCTGGCCAAGAGGGCCACCACACCGTGTCACCTCACCCAAAACACATCCCGCAGGAGTGGACCACGTCACGCTGGTCTCCGTCTCCTCGGTGAGATCCAGGACCTGCAGCAAGGCCGGGTTTGGTGCCGTTTAGAAGGACATTTCTTCCAACCAAGGAGCGCGAGCCTGAAAGCTCAGGTTTAGCCCGCAGCCCTGAGCTTCAGAGGAGAGTGCCCGGAGAGCACCGGTTTGCTTGACGGGAAGAGAACAGCACCAGCCCAGTTCCCAGGGTCAGAGCGGAGCGGCTCTGGCCTCAGCATGGAAACGTTTTCTGTTGAGCGCTGCACTACCCTTCGCCAGCTGCCTTACCTCAAACTGTAAACAAATGGGGAGAGGGAGGAGGGAGCCTGCTGGCATTTATCAGAGCACGCTGTCAGGGAGATGAATTACCCCTGCTCCCAGGAGTAAATTAGTGAACTGCCTGGTTCCAGGCCTCTTTGGCACCGCTGCTGGAAACCAGCTAACCCTTTTGAAGGTTCAGTGAGTCTGAAACCACAAAACCAGTGCAAAAGGCCAAGAAGAAACATATTATCAATAAAACTAATCCAGAGGCTTCGGTCTCCTTCAACCAACACAGATTCCTCAGCCCACATAAGCAAAGCCTGAGACACAAGCCCAGCAAGCCAAGACACAGATTTCCAGGCACCTCCACCTGAATCCATGCAGCAACCCTCCGCACCTGCCTGGGGATGGGGAATGTGTTGCCATTCACACAAAAAAATTCACTGTACAGGTCTCTTAGAAGGCAGAAAAGCTACTTAGGAACTGCAGAATTAGTTCAGATCCCCCCGATGCTGTCCCCGTCTCATCAAGCCACAGCAATGGCTGAGGAGGAGCTTGGCTCCAAGATATAGCCCACAACAGCAGAAAAAGAGGAATGGTTGAAGGGCTCCTGCTCTGCAGCTTTCTGCCAGGAAAATGACTGAACAGAGATGAAATTTTCCACTTATTCGCAGGCACAAGATACAAATACGATCTGATGTGACAGCTACGCTCACCGCGTAAGAGAAGAGAGCTGTTAAACGGGCTTGAACGGTGCTGAGAGAAGCCGGAACAAACTCTCACAGGGCTATTGATCATCACACACCACAGCAGGAAACTCTTCTGAGGAACAAAAACTTTCAGCGATGGTTACTAGTGGACTCAATGATCTTAGGGGTCTTTTCCAGCCTAAATGATTCTATGATTCTATACTAAGGGACCTAATTTTGTGTGTGCAAGAGGAGGAGAACATGGGATATCATTTAATTGTATTTTTTGCCTTGTAAGAGTGCACTTGGCATGGAACGTCACACATAAATCCGCAGGCGCCAGCATAAACTATTCTGTATAGGTTCAAAAATATATTAAATAAAGTACTGACAAAGCAGCTATTCCACTAGCCCAACAGAAAGTGCCATGCCTAGACACAGGAGCAGAGCTGCATCTCTCCTGCGCAGCAGTAACCGCTGGACGGGCTTTCTCTGAGGCAGAACAGGAGGAAGCACTGCAAACCTGAAAAATTCCCCTCCACGGAGGCTGCGAGCAGGGTGGACCCGCAGGGACGGCTCTGGAGAAGTCAATCTTCCGCACACGCCAGGGCACAGAGCTGCTCTTTGTGTGCAGCAATCGCTGATTAAAACGCTGACGAGCTCTGGACTGGCGAGAAACACCATGCTGGGGTAAGAACCTACGGGCTCACGGCATCCTCAAGGCTCAGTCTCCCTCCTTAACCTACCTTTCCAGTCCGTTTTGTTAAGAACAAGAGTAGGAAAAATCAGATGATTCACATTCCTGGGGCTGTGAATAGGTTGTGGGCACCTGGGTCACAGGGGAAAAGTTACCTTCCCTCTAGGGGCAGGAAACTCTAACAGCACACCCAAACTAGAGCACAGCTTCCAGCAGAAAACAGGCTGGGCATGGCTGGTCCTTGCTTTCTGATCTCAGAGGAAACTAAATTGTGGAAATACTCACGGATCTCTAAGAGACACAGATGCCTGCTCGTTTGCTGAGTATACCCAGAAGGCAGAAAGGAAGGAGGAGACTCCTACCTGCTAAAACTTGAATTAGTCAACCTAAGAAATGCCATTATAGGAGAAGGAAGGGAAGATCCATCTTTTGGCGTTTCTCATAGATCTATTCTGGTGCAGTGCTGTACCAGGAGAACTAAGCGATCTTCCATTTAGAAAGAGATGTAGGTTCAGCGTGCACAGGCTCTCCTAGAGCTACCTGGCCTCGAACCGCAGAGGAGGAGGAGTCCACTGAGGTAGTGTGTAACTAAAAATTAATCGATCGACCCTTGACCTTAACCCTTAATTCTGGTCAAATCCAGCGCCACAACAAACGGCACGTGGGTTCCTAAAATCTACATGAAGTCAGTTAAAAGGAATTTATTCATTACACAACGGGATGACGACCTAAATGCCACAGAAGTAGGTTTGCTCTGGCTTTCGCCCTAAACCCTAAAAGCAGGTATTAGGCAAGTGATCCCCAGCACAGATCCAAAGAACGTGGCAGAGCAGGGCTGGGTTTGCAGAAGTCAAAAGCTGCGGTTTGCAGCACTCCATCAACGCCTCCGTGCCCAGCAGAAAATATTGCGTAGTTTGCCTCTGCCAGTCCGCCTGTATGATACCGGGGTGCGCGGCAAACCTCTGGAACAGGGACTGTAACACCTGCAAACGGTCCGTGACAAGCTGAAAGAGTTGTGACGTGTTTCAGATGAGGGACCGTTTACCCAGCGCAGGTAAACAGTGAGATGGAAGGAAAAGGGGGACTCATTGTGTCAAAGAGAAAAGCAAGGCCGTGCGAAAGGTCTGCTCCTACGATGCACGGAGCTCTTCGGACCCTCCTGACTACACAAGGTGCGTTTGTGCTTCTGCCACATAGCGAAAGCCCTGCGGAGATTGATGGTGGAAGAGAGGCCACTCCAGGGACTGACAGGCTGTGACCAAGTGTTGCCCGCGTTAGAGAAACGGGGTTCGCTTCTCCTGGTGCCTCGACTTCTCCGAACTCGTTTGACATAGGGCAAAGATACTGATGCTCACAGCTGGAAGCAGTACTGGCCCAAATCCAGGGTCTGGGAGAAGGAAGAACAGCAGCAAAAGCCGAAGGTGGCTTTGTCAGGTGGGCAAACGGCAGCGTGACAACCGCCCAGCGATGCCCAGGCCCCGGTTGAAAACCGAGTGATAGAGATGACGTGTCCAGACAGCGCTCGGAGGAGGGGGGAGCCGACTGCGAACGCTGCCCTGGGCGGGAAAGCAGGAACCCGGGATTGGGGACGGCGGCGTGTGCGCGCTGAGCGAGAGATTCCTGTCCTGCAACCTACAGAAAAGCAAACTGATGGTGGAGAGCAGGGGCAGGGCTGCAGGACCGGACTTCGGAGCTGCTCACAAGTGCCCAGAAGTAGCTCGCACGTCAACACAACACATGACGGGAAAACCGTTTGGCAAAGGGAGCCCCTTGGGAAGGGCGCCAAGCCACGGCACCCTAAAGGAAAGCTTTCATGCCACAGGGGAGACACTGAAAGTTGAAGCCGAGGAGATGTGCACTTCAGCAGACTGCCAAATACACTGGAAAGGGGGAATCCAAAGCTGCACCATGGGTTTAAAACTACCAGACAGACAAACGCTGCAGGGAATTGCCTAAACTACACAGTCCCGATGTATAAAGCAGTGGAGAAAATGACCGGGGAGGGAAGAGGAGCAAAGCCCAGTGGGTAGCACAGAGCGTGCCGCTGTCGGTGAAGGATGCAGCCCATCCTTTCAGGGTAGAAATCCCACATTGTCGTGTTATTCCTTTCCCCGACAGGAACAGGTCAATCGGGGCGTTGATATTCCACCTGAAGGTGGGAGATGCTTCCTTCACGAGAACGGTTTAGTAAAACAGGAGTAACCACCTCCCCAGATCACCCCTCTCCTGCCGTGGTTGGGGAAACAGCCACAAACACAGTCTTTGCAAATGACAGGACGTCACCGAAGAAGTAACCAACTCCAACAGCCACTTCTCCGCAGGGGGACGACCCATGGCATGCCCCGGTCACCGCCAGGCCTGCGTTAAAGATGACACAAGGACTAGGGCTGAGCAGGAGATCTGGGTGCAGGAGGGCTGGGGCTTGCAGCGGCAGCTTCCCTCCACGTCACAGACCCTACTCTGCTTCCACGACTGGCCTCGCCTGGTGTCCTTGGCTCCCATCCTGAGCACCATCCAGGCAAGGTCTGATAATAGTCTTGGGTTATTTGGTATCGCAGACAACAGAGCACCCCCTCCTCCGTGTCCCCCAAGAGGACCCCTACCAGCCACCGGCTGTGCAGAAAGAGGAGGAGGGGAAACGGGGAGGGGGGGGTTCGTTTGCTCGGCAAGCAGTTCCTGGAACCCAGCCTGCTGCTTGCCAGCTCTCTGTCACCTCCAAGGAATGCAGGGAGGATCCAGAGCGGTTTCCTCCTGAGCACTCCTCTTTCCCCACGCAGCTTGTCCACACACTGCCTCCACCCTCCTCTGCTCCAGCCTCTCCTTCCAGCTCCCAGCCCACCTTCCCACCCAGCCACTCTCTGCTCCCCCAACTGCCTCGGCCACCCCAGCTTTCCTCTCCACCCACTCCCCTTGCCTCTCTGCCACCCCACGGCCCCTCCTGGCTTCCCAGCTTCCCTCAACCCCTTCCCTCTTCCTTTCTTTCTCTCCTCCTTTCCTCCTCTGCCCATCAACCACTCCCACTCCTCCTCCTCAGGCTCCTTTTCATGCTGCTCTCAAGCTGTGCTGAAGTAGCTCTAGATTACCTCCAGTCATCCGCGCTATGCACTGTCTAGTAAATCCTAACACTTATTTTAAAATCCAGGACCTTGGTAAGCCTGGGCAGCAGGAAAGGGCGCTGCTGGTCCAAACCACGCTCAGGGCAAGGCTGCATGTGCCAATACAACCTTCCACGGCAGACCAAGGTCTGAGTGGCTGCTGAAGTGCCACCAAAGCTGCTGAACTGCCTTCTGCTGGCTCCTACAGAGCCAGCCCCGTCTCCTAATCCTCCACCAGCCCCGCAGAAGTGCAGAGGAGTAACTTCCCCAATGGCAAAGGTACAGTGGGGAGAGTATCTCCACCACAGTGCAGGCAAGCAGAGATCAGCAGGTGATAGGAGAGGGCAAGGGGGAGCCCAGGGAGATCCCCGTCCCATCTCGTGAGTATGATCCCCCCAACCCCAGTCCTTTGCCACTGATACAGGAAAGGTGAATCTGACTTTCTTCAAAGGTGGGTGAATTACTCACAGTTCTTTGTAGTTGGCATCATACAGAGTCGCCCACTTGTTCTGTTGATGGGGCTGCCACTTTATGGACTGGTAGTTGGGATCCAGGTAGGAGCCATTCAAGCTGTCGTTGTCTTGAATCAGGCCTGCGGTGAGGGGAAAATACCTATTGCAATCACTCCGACAGTGTCCAGCGGGGTAAGAGAACAAGGAAGTGACTGGCATTGTCTGTGCAGCCAGCCTGAAGCTTGCCTCCTGACTGCCAGGGCACTGCCACGGGCACGAGATCTGGGCCAGGATGAACTCACCGCCCTGCTCTCCTCCTGGGGGCGGGGTGAGC